GTTCAACATGGTGAAACAAAGGGCTCTGGGAATTTCACTGCCTTTCCCTGATTTGCTTCCTGATTGCTTACGTCTTTGGCAATTCAATTAGTACATTACACCCAGTTACAGGCGATCCTGAAATTATTTACCCGTCTGACAGATCAAGGTTCACACTAATCTTTCATTCAACCAACAGGTTCCTCTGGTCGGAAATAAAATAAAGATTCTGTCCCAGTTGGAGTTGCAACCTGAAACTCAAGTAAAATGTTAGAGTGATGGGAAGGAGGCATCAAAGATTGTTGCTCATTGTTAACGATAAATCACAGAGATATTCTGGAAAATATGCAAAAAGCTGTTGAGCGGTTATAAGAACAGACTGATTGCATTAGTGGTAATAAGGATTTTTCAATTGCTATGCCATTTAAAAGGTATGCCAATCAGGTTCTCTGGCAACTAGACGGACTTTTGTAGCTCCTCATGGCTCCTATAATACAAGTCAAATTATATCTAATATCCAAATGTCTCAGACTCTCACTTACCTACTTAGCCTACTTCCTCCCGGACCATCTCTAGATGCCTTCCAAGCCATTCAGACAACAACCTTTAAAAACAGCTCCCCAGAGGGGAGGGTCTGATACCACCACACTACATGAGGAAGAAGTAAACACAGCTGTTTATGACTTTTTCAAAAGCCGCTTCATGCCGTCCGAGAGCGACAGTCATTTCTTACTGTCGGTTTTCCAAAATGTGTTGATAGTGGTGAAATATATGAACTAAATCATGAGATGTCTCTAGATGTTTACATTTGCAAACCGACACAAGCATGAGCTGCTGCCTGCTCACCATATTTTCTGCACGGTTCCGTCCACGTAGATACAAATTTTCTTGGTGCTCCATGCAGAAATTCTGTCTGCCCGGGGGGGAGGGGCGTGGAATCCCAAAATGATGTCATAAATCGAGCTTTAGTGGAGGCCAGGTGTGTCTTGGTTGTTCCATATTTGTCACTGTCATCCTCTGCCTATAATCTGGGATGCATCTCTGCCAGTATCTCCTGGGGGAGCCCAAGGGTGGGGTCATCAGTGGGACATAGTCCTTCCAGCATTCCATGACCTGTCACCTAGGCCTCCTTCTAGTGGGACATTCCTCCAGCACCATTTCTGCTCACCTTGAAATCCTGCTTAATGCATCTGTTTGATTTTCTGAAAAGCGCATCAGCAATGCGCCTCTGATCCTGTCAGACTAGAATCAGAAACCTACCCAACCTTCAGTCCCATGTATTCTCCAGAGTCTTCAACTAACTCTCTAATTAGTAAAATTGTTTTCAGGATGCCATCCTTAACAGCGTTTCTTGTTGCACTCTATTGGCTTGATTGTCAGACTGCAACAGCTCCGACTGCACTTCCCCTCTCTTGATACCATGTCCATCTGTCATGTCTTTACTTGGTTCCATTCAAACCACAAAACACATAGCATTCAGATTTACGCAGGTGAGGATTCTCAGTCATCCAGGTCATAGTCATTCCAAAAGAGTTAAAAAAAACAATCCACTGGACTTTGTTTTGTTGGACATTTTGCTTCCCATCCAGGAAGCTTTTTCAATTAAAAATGTCAGGCATGAGTGTGTATGGGAAAATTGTTTTGGCTTAGAAAACATGCAAACTGAGCTGGACGAATGGGTTTGACCCTTGGAAATGGGCAATCGTTGGGTTCTCTGTTAGCCTGCAATACCCAACACCTGTCTATGTCTCTGAAAGGGGTTTCGTTAGAGGGAATTGTTGGCTTGGCTGACATTAGAAAATGTCGCTATCATGTCATCAACACTTTAAATCCAACATAGAATCCATAAGAGACATTTTGGATAAGTTTGTGTGTGTTTGGGTATGGGGTGTGTATGCTGTTGGGTGCAGATGATGGTAAATCTGTTGTACGTATATTAGATAGTAAATTATAAATAATATACTATAAATTTGTCACTGTTATTATTTAGATACTTATTGTCATTATAACCTCCAGATACATGGCTTAGAAAGTTGTTTTTCTTTTACAGCTTCCCTCATACTGCCAGTATGCTATCTGCTCATTTTAATAGGCGAGACCAAACCTCTTTGCATGTCTTAACATTTGAACAGCTTTCTTTGTAGCTCATCCACAACATTCCAACTTATTGACAGCACAAGAAAAAAAAATGGAAAACATGGTTTCCTTTATTTTGAATTTTTGAGGATTGGATCCTAGTGTTGCTCTGTGGTTATCAAGCAGGTTTTTTTTTTCATTTTCTTGTGGTGTTTTTGAGCGGTGTTCAGATCTCTGTTCCCTCAGCAGGCCACCGTTCAGCCCCAGAATATAAATGATGTTGACCAGCTGTTATGTTGAAAGCTCACATTTCATTAGTGGTGTATTATGCAGCAAAACCTGATCAAACAACTCGACTTCAGTCCAGGAGGCTTTTTATATGGTTTTATACACTCCAGAGATCAGGGCAGAGCATGTTAACTTTAACGTTGATATTCAATCAAAAATATAAACATTCTGGAACATGTTGGTCTGCCTTCCTCCTACCTTAAAGATGAAGTGCGTCTCGTCTTTCAGCAGGCTGTCTCTCTTGCTGTTTTCCAAGGCTTGGTCTCAGATGTTAACGTCTTTGTCCAAAGATTGTGTGAACTTGTAAACATTTTCATTTTAAGGGCTGTAATAATGACCTTCTGGCATAAAGAGTCAATTTAGCTGCACAGTTATTCAGGAGTTTTAAGTTAAAGTCAGACTGGAATCAGTTTACCATGCAGGGACTCACCTTCTAAGACCAAGGATTTATGAATAGGAAACAATATACTGCATGCTGTCTTTGTGTTTTCAAAAGAACATAAAGCATAAATGCTCCTGCCATTCTTTAGCATTAAAGAAAATGATTAGAGGTAAACTAAAAAGAAGCCAGAGCTGGTCTCTAGTATGATTTATTGGGACTGTCAATAATTATAGTTTTATAAAAAAAAAAATATATATATATATATATATATATATATATATATATATATGGTTATATATATATTTAAATAGTACTAGTATTTTGTTAGAATTTATTTTCACCTAGTGAAAGTTGGCTTGAGTGATGCTGTTTTCACGCATAATGATTGTTCTACATGATTCCAGTTATATCATGAAGTGCTGCAATTTGTCCTGCAACAACAAAAAGCAATATCCACAGGATATTGCAACCCATGTAAATCACAGGTGGGATGTTGTTCTTAGGCTTGCTAGCAGAGAACACATCACTAGCAGAGAGGCTAGTTTTACTGTGTTGCTTTAAAATACATCTACAGCTCTGATTTCTTTCATGAAAAGGTGTTGAGTTTATCAGAAGTGTTTCAAGCATCAAGACTAAGGAATCTAATTATTAATGACTGTTAAAATCCCTGGAGATGTGTCCTGTATGCTTGTAAATAAAATACTGCAGACGAGGAAATTCTCTCACTGTGCTGCTTTAGGCAATGACTGACCATCAGAGATGATAAAGAAGAACACGCTGCTCAGGATAATTTTTGTGTTTAAGAAATACAGAATAACTTAAATGGTGTTTTTATGATTGCTTCTAATTTTTAAGTTCATTACTTCTTGATATGTACATTATTGGCTGTATTCTCAACCTGAAGCAGAAGTAGAATATTTAAAAGTGGTGAAAAACACAATTACCACAAGAAGTTCAAAAGATAGCGGATTCCAGATTAGTTACAAACATTTTTAAAAACATAATTTGTCCTTTGTATGTAGCTAACAATGATGTCACATTTTAAATCATATTTTCCTGCAAGATAAAGACGTTTCTAAAAGAAATCCAACAGAATGCATTAGAGGAAAGAAGAGTTTTCTGGATATCTTGTTTGTGAATGAATGAAAACATTGATTTTCACCTGTTAGCTGTGTCACTGTGTGATGTGGAGGCTGCAGCGCCTCAGACTGGAAGAACATGAGGAGAGTGGTGAGAACAGCAGAGAGGAT